AAACCGAATCAAAAGGACTATACTGTGATACCTATCGTATCTAGGGCTTCAACGAGTCCATTTTTTGGACTCGAAAGTACTCGAGGGTGAGACTCGACTCGACCCGAAAAGTACCTTAAATTCATACCTTTCAAGCAAACGATCAATTGTCAAGATAGTTACCTAATCATTTTAAGAAGTGAAATCTCAATCAATGTATAATATTGACTCTCATCTGCAGACTTATAACAACTAATACCATACAGCCACACCTTGTGAGGGAGTAAACTATTTAATCTAGGTGTTAATAAAAACATTATCAGATGGGTTAAAGAATTCAGGGTACATAGAACTCAGTTTGTCAGTGTCAATGGCTATCAATCTTCTTTTCTCTCTCAAATTGCTAAAAGCGGCGTGAAACCAAACTCAGTCAGTCTTTTCTCTAAACCTCTACTGGAGATCCACATGGCTGTGTTCCTTCATCCATTACTCTTCGCTTTGTATACCAGTGACTGTTACTTGTCAATATATGACTTGTTTACTGTAACATTTGCAGATGACGCCACTTCACTGTTACTGGCCTAATTTCTGATTCTGAACATTATTATCGTCAAAGCATTGACAAAACCGAAATGACAGTTTTTATCAAACCTTTATTCAAAGTGTGTTGACCTACAATTTTCTATGTTGGTATGGGGATCTGTCTCATCGCAAACAAAACAGACTTTTCAAAATTGTCAATACTGCTTGCAAAATTTCTGGAGTGTATTTAAATTATAGTCAAAAGGCAGCTAAACTTAGATTTGATAGTTGACATATTTGATCTCACCATTTTGAACTACTTCCTTCTGGACGCTGCTGTCGATTACCTTCCCTCAAAACAGAGCTCGACAGTCTTTCATACCATCAAGTATTCGTAGTGAATGCAACAAATATTTTGAATCACCATCATGTGATTAGAACTAGAATTATTCAGCCTCTTTACCTATGTTGTTAATTGAATTATATCATGTCAGTTTTATTTGTAAATAACATTCGTTTTGAGCATGTAATTATTGTGTATATTTTTGTGAACTGTGTATATATTCATTTTGAGACAGTTTGGATGTATGAGAATTTCCTCCGGGATAATAAAGTTATATCTTATCTTTAATATTAGACGTTAACGGTCGCTCATGCTTAGCACATGGCAGACAGTCCGTCCAACGCCAATAATTCGAAGTTATCTCCCTTTTTCGTCCCTCGAGTCCTTGAAATTGACTCGAGTCCAGCTAAACCGACTCGTCCTCGAGTACTTTCGAGTACCGTGGAAGCCCTAATGTATCGTTGCAGGACTAGATGTGATCACACAAGCCACCTGTCCAATTATTCATGTATTAATCAACAGCTGTCATAGATCCTGAGTTAGGTTTTCAGCTTGTAGAAAGCTGTGACAAATGATGGAATACTGACAATCAACAACTCAAGAAACTACTTTTTCATACACAGGAATTTTCCTATATTTTGAGGAAATTGCCACTGTGACCAAATTTGGAAAAAAAAGATACTTTTTGTTAAAAGCTGACTTTTGATGAGTTTCTTTTTTTCCAAACTTCAGGGACATTGTATTTTGAGACTGGATCCAATACAGTAACAAAAACTGAAGCATTTTTATAACTTCTTTTTCCTAATGTTATTATAAAGGTTGCAACTACTGAAAGATGCAACGATTCTGTTCGATTCATCAAAAATCAATTCTGACACCTTAGTTTTGATTTTCGATAACCATTATCAGTATTTCGATTTGGTATTTGAATACCTATATAAAAAATTATTTCCACACAGCGGACCTTAATTTTGACTCCAACTCGAGCAGTTTTGAGCTGAAATAAGGCAGAAACATGATTGGATGGCGCCAGGCTAATTATCCAATGAAAATTGTTGTTAGTAGACATTTCCAAGGTGACGATGGATTTCAGCTAAAAAATCTGACTCTGAAGTTAAATGAAATCTGATGTTTTTACTTGTATGAAGAATCAAATCGAAAATGATCGAATCAGAGGGTCCAATATCGAAAGTCGAATCAAATCGAGGTCTGCATGAATCGTTGCAGCCCTATTGAATACCTCATGATAAACAGATGAAAATGCAGCAACAAATCTTACAACAACTTACATTGACACAAAAATCAATATAATACCATCCATATGCATTAAAACTTAGAATAAATAATTTTCATGGATTGAAGATTCCACTGATTTAATGTTTGTTGTTGTTTAACCACGCAGTGTGCAATATTCTAACTATATGGTAGTAGCCTGTACAGTAGCTAACATTGACACAAAAATCAAAATAATACCATTCATTATGACTTACGATTCAGTCATGTTTTCAATAAATCGAACAGTATGCACTCATAAATTCAACTCATTATTTGCGATCGATTAGAATTGAATAAACATGATTTTTTCATAAAGACACATTCACTGCTCTTCATAACCAAGACCTGGGTTCGATTCCCCACATGGGTACAATGTGCGAAGACCATTTCTGGTGTCCCCTGCCATGATGTTGCTGGAATATTCCTAAAAGTGGCGTAAAACTAAACTCACTCACTCACACAACCTGAATCCTCAACAGGCACTAGTTTGATAACTATATTTTATGGAGTCAAGTTTCACTATGTGTCTGCTAAACAGTCAGAGGTGAGGTGAGGTGAAATTGGGTTTTACGTCGTGCTTGAGAATATTTTGCTCATATGACGACATGCATGCGTGTGTATGTGCGGCTGCTTGTACTAGCCCAGACTTAAGCTGGTTTTATAGTGCTAGCCCACTGAGATACCATGCCGCAGTGAAGCATGAATACCCCACTCAGACACATTATACTGACTCCGAGCCGACCAGTCCTTGTTGCACCCATTAATGCCGAGCGCTAGGCAGGGACCAACAAGTTCCATATTTTAAAGTCTTTTGGTATGACGCCGTCGGGGATCGAACCCGCGACCTTCCGCTCTCCGGGCGGACGCTCTAACCACTACACCACGGAGGCGGTCTAAACAGTCAGAAACAACAACATATAGACTCAGTGATTCATAAATATGCAACATATAGCTATGCATTCTGTGCTGCTGCACAATGCATCATATGTGCATGTTTTACATAATTTCCGCAACCCAGTACAGTAATGATCAAACTTGCATTCCATGTGAAATAATTTCAAGTGATAATTTAAAATCTTTACATCAAGGCTGTAGATTAGCTATCATTTTTGTCCCCTACTGTTCTGAATGTGACCACGTTCAACATTTTGAGCCACGTCATGTCAAATGAAATTTATGTTTTCAATATCCATGCAAATCTTCTACAATAAAAGGATTTTGTCCCAACGTGGAAAAATGTCAGTATCTTAATGACTACGTTACGGCCTTGCTGGATTTTCTGGGATGAAGGGATGAATGAGTTCAATAATCCATTAGTATTCAGTCACGACATTAAACTAGAAATCAAGTAATTGCATCAATGCCATCAAACATATTCAAAGAATTTTGTTTTACTGCTGTTGACAAATATTGATGTCAGTCTAGACCGTTCATACTTTGTTTATTTGTTTATTGCTTAACACAACATCAGCAATATTCCAGCTTTAACTATATGGGGACAGTGTGTAAATAATCGAGTCTGGACCAGACAATCCTGTGAGTGGCATCATGATGTTTGTTTATTGTTCCTTGCTGCACTCAGGAAAAATCCAACTACATGACGACAGTGTGTAAATAATTGAGTCTGGACCAGACAATCCTGTGAGTGGCATCCTGATGTTTGTTTATTGTATAATGCTGCCCTCAGGAAAAATCCAACTACATGACGACAGTGTGTAAATAATTGAGTCTGGACCAGACAATCCTGTGACAAGCATCATGAATAGAGTGGATCCATTCATTGGAATTAATAAGTTGATATGCATCGACCAAGTCAACGAGTCTGAGAACATTTGTAGGTACTGGTAAATTTATGACACTAACCTACAGTGCAAAACAGCATCACAATAATAACAGTCAGAAATACTTTGTAATAACACACCAAGTTCTGATAGACAGTTTTTACTTTTATCGCTTCTCTCAAAGAATATGTGATGCTGTTACATTGTTACGTGCTACGACAATGTGATCACTAGTGGTGGTCCGATTAATTGAAATAATCGAAGATTGATCGCAGTGATCAAACGACCAAGCAATCGATCACATTTTCTCATAATCGAACATAAACGATTTTGGAACTATTGTTTTAGTCTTTGAAATACTTGACAATGGAACATATCGTTGAAGTTGTCAGGGCATGAAAACGTGTTTAATTCTTTGAAAACTCACTTCACTAACTGAAAAGCCATGACTGAATATTTCCCGAAGACTCCGGGAAGTTTATGTTCATGATATATTAGTCATCACTTTAAAGTAGCAAGTTGCATCATGTCATACATATCTGCAATAACAACCTGGATAGGAAAATTTGAAAAATGACGCTAACCAATTTTTTTCAATGACTGTTCGTTGGTAATGAAACAATCATCAATTGTGAGATTTCAACCAATTCCCAACGCTAGTGATCACTGTGCACACTACCACATAGTCTTGAACACTTAACATATATTTATTTATTTATTTTGTTTAAATTTCACCTCAATTTAAATTGTCATCAATTACACATTCATATACCACAATAATCATCAGCAACAGGTGCAAATTGTTTAATCTTGCTACTACAACTCACAGCCTAAGCATGTCATTAGTAATACAAAAAGCAAATAGACTGACTGACTGAGTTTAGTTTTACGCCGCTTTTAGCAATATTCCAGCAATATCACGGCAGGGGACACCAGAAATGGGCTTCACACATTGTGCCCATGTGGGGAATCGAACCCGGGTCTTCGGCGTGACGAGCCAACGCTTTAACCACTAGGCTACCCCACCGCCCCCAAAAAACAAATAGATAAAATGTAAATTTAATTCTTAAAAATGTTCTATTATTACTAATTTTACTCACCTGTCATCCCTGTACCGAAATGGGACTGACCCGGTCCGGGTGCTGTCATGGCAAATATCTAGAAACCCTGAAACAGGATCTCAACTTCACCAACAAATACATACAAAATATTCACAATATTTTCTGGTCGAAAATACTCCTTTTTTTCCAGTGCAATTATTCATGGCAATGTTTACAAGTCATACATACAAAAGGCCTAAACAAAACTTTTCTTGTTTACATTTTTTAAATTCAGCTATTTTTTTCTGAGTTAGATTCACTATCATTTCTATCGCTGACCACAAAGCTGTGCCTCATCGAATGAAACACAGACAATGATATATATCACTGCCATGCTAGAGTCAAATATGCAGTGATATTTATAAAATTTCTACAATATTTTATTTTTTCTTTATGAAACAAATTAAAAAAATTTAATGATCATTATGTTACATGCCATAAAGGAAATCTTCAATACAACAGGTGCTCATTGAAAGAATGGTTACAAAGATATTTCTTCGAAATTCTCCATTTCCTCACACCTTAGACAAGGAATACAAATGTTGTATGTAATCTATTACACGTTTCCTTATTCCTACTTGAGCATGTTGAGACAACATATTGCATAAAGTAAAGAGGAAGATTGTAGCATGACAGTGTAAAATTTCAACAACACTTAACAGCTGTATTTGTGAGCATGACAAAGCAACACTGAATGTATAGAATAATACACATATATATATACATATACAATGCATGAGCATCTCACAGTTTGATAATCAGTGTTTGTCATTGTTTACTATTTTCACCAAAATATAATTCATGTTTGATAGTACAAGAGTTTGATAATCAAATATTGTTTAAAATCAAAGAGGTCTGATTTGATTCACAGAAGTCATGAAGTTAATTTTCAGAAAAATATATTCCAATCCATTTACAAAATCACAACATGTTTCAGCTTCAATGCAATTATTGGAATTAAATATCACATCACAAACATCATTAGATTTATGTAACTAAATGCAAATTGTGTTAAAATCTTTACATACATTGATACATTTACTATTCAAATGTCCAGGAAATGACCCTATCCTATTTTGATCCTAAATATCTTTTGAATATCCAATGACTATCAGACAACAGCATTATCAAAAGACTTGTACATACGTGACCATCCTAAATATGACTGCTGTAAAATTGTTATTTATAACACTGACTGTCTTACTAGTTGAAATATACGGTTATACCACTACTGAATGATAACTGTAGCCTTGTGAGATTATTAGCATAATAATGGTATCGTCCAAGAGGGGGTGTTAACTTGGCAATATGGTTGAAAATGTCCCTTCTCCCCTCATATGCGTGTTTCCTTCTCGTTTCATGCATGACGCCAACATATATCATACCATTCATAAGTACAAATCACTACCATATATTATGTGTACCTCCAGTATTTAAATATTCACGACAAGTCGTTGGTTATTTTCTGAAGGGTAACCGCCATTTTGTTAGAAAAAGTTTCCCGTTTCACAAACAAATTTGGGATGTGATGAGAGAAAAAAACAATATGACATAAAATGTAATACTGAGAAATGAAACTTTGAACATTACCATACATTTCTGTGTAGGAGTTTAAATTTTTCACACGCGCTTAATGTGTTTTCTTTTCGTGTTAAATGTGTCTATTGCGATCTACGAGACTTGTCGCCATTGCTAGTCGAAGCACCCCCCGTTTTCTTAAATCCGTCTAGCTTGAAAATCGAAAGAAAAATTCATAAACATTGGTAACAGGACATTCTGACGGTACAGAATCTTAAACTGAAAACTCCGTAATAAATACACGAGTTTTCTTCAAGCAACAACAGTGTTAAATAATTTTACGATCATATTTTTCTATTCCCCAGTGCAATGGCCTGTGTCGTTATGCATAATGGAAGAACCCCGAATCTCGATGACGTAGGGCAGGAAATAATATTTCATCTGCAAAATACACACTGAAAAAACAACGGACAAATAAGAAAAAATAGCACAGTTAGATCTACAGACATCCTACTTCGAAGGCAAAAAAAAGAAAACGATGCTAACCTGATTTTTCGATGCAATAATGAAGGAAATATTTGGTAAATAGTCGTCGTCGATGGATTCACTCGCCAAGATGGCAACTGTTCGTTTGCGCATGCGTTTAATTAGTATCTACCCCTGTGAATTTAAGATGTGGAAAATAAACAAATCGGGTTAGTGAGCGTTGCAATATCACACTAAGATGGGTATTTTAATTGTAACCACTCGCTTTCATTGTTTGCATATCAATTTACAGCCCCAAGTGACTGTAAATAACAACCACAAAATTGTGCAAATGACAATAGTATTTCCGTGACGACAGATTATTGCATACATTCCGTAGCATGCTGTTTTTAGCTATCAGTCCATTTTATACGTTGACTGATAACGATATATCAGATACATAATTTGTTCCGTTTGGTATTTTCCGTATCCATTCCCCATTCCCGTTTTCATACATATGATGAGCACAACAAAAGAAGATTTTATAAAACTACCCACTATATAAAGCAACAACAAATTATTTGTTTTTAGTTGTGATTTTCAGATGATGAAATAGTGATGACAATGCAATAACAAACTCTCCACTTTTACTGAAGAGAAAACATGAAAAATAAAAGTTATTGGTTGAATATGGTATTAACGCTTATATTTCCATGCGTTTATGAAAATACCAAAATACGCTAATTTCGAAAATTCTATACTATTGTAATTTTTAATCAATAAAGGACTTTATAAGAACCACAAAATATAACGTTTTTATATACAGTGTTTTCATATTGGCCTCGTTGTAGATCCAAGGTCAATCATGTTTGCCAACCCCAGAATGTAAAAAAAGAAACCGTCTTATAGGTCTCAGGCTAATTTGATTGATCGCTGACCTATAACGAGGTCAACATGAAAACACTCACTTAATGACATTGTTTTTTAGTTGACTATCCAAACTGCATCTTTCTAGGTAACATCAAACAAAAAATCTCAAGAAGAAAAACTTAAAATGCCACGGTTATAAAAAATGTATTTAGCAAAAAAAATATAAAGAGGATCCACGTTCAATTCAAGAGTGATGCCAGTCAATTTGTTGTGATTATAACGTAAGTGCAGCTGTATTGGCTTGCTCAAATCCAGAAATGGCCCGCTAAACGAGTATTATATCTTCTATGTTTGTGGGGCCCGCTTAAACCAGTCACGCCGATTATCTCTTCTATGTTTGTATATGAATATTGCCGTTTGATTTGTTTGTAGATGCCGTTTGATTTGAGCGTAATACCAACTACGGATTACAGGCAGGCGATTAATATAAAGCCAATAGAGCCTCTGCTTTTACTGAAATTTTATATCTAAAGTAACAAAAAGTGACGTCATGGACAATGAATGACGTCATGGTGTTGAGGACAGAATGACGTCATAATGCTTCAAAGAAACAAATTAGCTTATAATCTCGCTAAATAAGATACGGAAATGATATTACTTTTTAGCTGTAATAGTGATAATATAATGATAACCTGCCAGCTGAGAGTTGTCACTCCAGATTCAATGAATGGTGTCTTGTGTCTTCTTAGAGAGGAACGTACAGTGAGTGAGTTTAGTTTTACGCCGCTTTTAGCAATATTCCAGCAATGTCACTGCGGAAGACACCAGAAATGTGCTTCACACATTGTACCCATGTGGGGAATTGAACCCGGGCCTTCGGCGTGACGAACGAACGTTTAAACCATTAGGCTGCCCCACCGCCCCGAGGAACTTACATCATTCATTCACGAGCGTGGCGGTGGGGTAGCCTTGTGGGTTTGCTCGTCACGCTGAAGATCTGGGTTCGATTCCCCACATGGGTAAATTGTGTGAAGCCCATTTCTGGTGTCCCCCGCCGTAATATTGCTGGAATATTGCTAAAAGCGGCGTAAAACCATACACAATCACTCACTCACTCATTCAGGAGGGACATATATTCTATAATTCTAAATTCAGTGTGGGTTATTTTAAATATACTATCCCAAAAAAGAAACGCATAGGCGTTTTGTCTTTCTTAAAATCTATTAATTACCTTTTGTGTTCAAACAATCGTCAAAACATGTAACAAAAGTGTTGATAACATGATTTTACACAATTGCACAAGTAAAAAATGGACTTTACCTGAAAATGGGGATTTTGATAAGATTTCTTACAAGGATTAAAAAGGCATCCCCACAAGGCAACCGAAATCACCTTCCAGATGAAATTGTGCAGCAAAGAGCATGCACTGTCTGGCTTTAAAAATCCAGATTACTTTCGGAAATCGGCTTTCGTTTTGAAGGAGTTTCAAGGTCAAATCACTACGCCACGTTTTGACTCTGCGACAGGGAACATCGACATTCAAAGAATGCACGCTGGGGATTACCAATCTTCTGTTGCCAGGCGTCTGAATGTTAGTCTGAGCACGATATCACGGCTTGCAGCTCGTTACAACCAAACAGGTATAACAAATGACCGTCCCCGTACAGGCAGACCTCGAGTCACCACTGCAGCCCAAGATCGGTACATCCGGGTACTACATTTGTGTGTTCGTACTGCCACGGGTGAGAGCAGCCAGGGTGTCTGGACTTCGGAGGATATCCGGTCAAACTGTACGGAACAGGTTGAGAGAGATTGGACTGAGAGCCAGGAGACTCGACGTCGGGACCGTGCTTCGTCGTCACCATCGCGCTTGACGTATCCGTTATCTAAAATTATCCACTTGGTTGTGTAGACATTTCCTTTTTGTAAATCGATGTAAAAATTCATGTACTAAAGTCTATTTGTGGACGAGTTATACATGTTTGAAAATACAACATTTTCGCAACAGATTTCTGGCCTATGCGTTTCCTTTTTTGGATAGTATATTACTCGAAGACAGTTTAGGACATAGATGAAAATTATGCGCATAAACCATCAGCCCTACAGAAATTTCCCCGATGTTTTTTAATAGTATTCAGTATTGGTGTAATCAAATTATTAGTCACGCCATGAACTATGGATGACGTAACATTTTCTCAACAATGAAGTTATTTGACGTCATATGTCTGTAACTAACCAATGAGCACTGGGAATCGCTGAAATGCACATGTCCAAAGACAGGAAAATAATGGCACTCGATCATTCTAACCTTTACGGGAAACATCTGTAAATGGTTTACCTTTGTTGTGATCTTTACCTCAGTTGTGATGTTTATAATACGACCACTTTAGGTTTAGTTTATATCGTTTTCTATTCTTTTGTGATAAAAACTATACAATCGGTGACGTTAAAATATTTTTCAGGGTACTATCAGTGTTCAGGCGTGCTAGATCTGTTCAACTGTTTTCCTTCGTATGGCAAGCCGTTTTCATATGTATTAAGAAATTACTGACGCTTCAAGTGTTTTAAAGATATCTTATTATATTTAAATATATAATATAATAAAAGGAGTTCAGAGACTTTCTTCAGTTTCAGAATTTGTTGTAATCTAGACTTGCCACATATTCTAGACTTGCATAGGCTACATTGGGTATGCTTGTTTCAGGGTCTGTGTGACAGCACTTTTCGTATTGTCAATGAATGCGGTCTTTGAATGGAATAATTTCTTTCTATCTAAATAATATATTCCATAAGCTGTTCGATAGTGTATAAAATCGCCTTACTTTACTATATCTTTCACATTACGGGTAATCGAGGTTGTAAACTCAACACACCCACCAAAAATCTATTTAAAAAACAATACCCGTGGAGGTCCGGGTTAGAATGAACCTTCAGTAACCCATGCTTGTCGTAAGAGGCAATTTACGGGATCGGGTGGTCGGTTAGGTCTACTAATGCCTACAGTGAATAATGCCTACAGGGAATAATAGCTACAACGTTTGCAGTGACAGCGATACGCTTACCTGCACACAAGTAGATTGTTCCACTTAGTGTGCACTATTGCCTACAAAGGGATTAGGGGAGGCCAGCAAGGAGAGTAAAGAGTAAGATCAAGAGTATTAAATCGTTAGCTAGCTTATGTTTTGATAATTCCATACGCATTTAGTTCTCACACGAGAAGGAAATTGAAGAGTAAAGTAATTAATAGAGAGATTATTAAAGGGAGAAGGAAATGTATTGCTTTAAAATTGAAGAATAGAGTAATTAATTGAGAGATTATTAAAGGAGAAGGAAATGTATTGCTTTAAAATGCTTGTGATACAAATCTTCATTGCAAATCATGGCAAATCCCAAGAAAGTCGAATACTTCACATCACAGAAAGGAGGACAGCAGGTACTCTTGGAGGGATACCGCTACAGACTCAACAACAGGCGACAGACGTGTGTACACTGGAAGTGTGTTCAAGGTGGCTGCTTTGGCAAGTGTACGACAGTCGGACAGTTTGTTCGGAATCAGACCCCACACAACCACCCACAAGAAGACCAGGTAGCCCTGAAGATTGCCAGTTCCCTGAGGCAGCGGGTACAGACTGAGACGCCGCCAGTTCAGGTGATCTACGATGAGGAGATTTCCCGACTTGACCGAGGTGAAGCAGCAACAGTCAAGTCGTTCCATTCTATGAAGAGTGGACTCTACAAGCAGAGACGGAAGATGATGCCGCCACTTCCCCAGACGCTCAGCGAGGTGAATCTACCCGACTTCTTCAAGGAGACTACAGATGGACTGCCCTTCCTCTGCATTGATGACGGTGATGATGACAAGATTCTCTGCTTCGCCACAAGTGACCGCCTGACCCTCCTGCAAGAAGTGGACACCCTCTACATGGACGGCACCTTCTACTCCTGTCCTCCTCTCTGGGATCAGCTGTACGTCATCCATGGCCTAGTCGGAGGGAAGATGACCCAGTTGGTCTTCTGTCTACTGCCGAATCGTCAACGCCGCACCTATGAACGCCTGCTACGTCTCCTGAACGACAAGATCCAGCAGACAACGGGATCGCCCCTTCAGCCTGATGTCATCCAGACGGATTTCGAAATCGCTGCCATCAACGCTGTTGAGACCGTCTTCCCCAACTGCGAGGTCCGTGGATGCTATTTCCACTACAGCCAGGCTCTCTGGAGGAAAGTACAGAACCTCGGCTTCAGCGAAGCCTACCAGCAGGATCCTGAGGTCCACAGATGGGTCCGACGAGCA